TTGCATAGTCAATGAAGCACAGATAGACATTCTTCTGGTATTCTTTGCTTTCTGCCAAGATCCATCTAACATTAGCTATAATATCCCTAGTACTGGCAGTTTTCTGTTGACATATTGTTCCAAACGTTAGGAAGACAAAAATTTCACCACTGGACCAGTAGGCAATATCATAATGTGTTTGTTGAATATCAAGTCGGACTCAGCCATAGCCGACCCTCCAATTTTTCTGAGGCTGTATATTGCCTGAGATTTGCCCATCATCTTACAGAGAGCAGCTAGTGGGTACAAATTATGTACTGTTGGGTACCAGTGTAGTTCCTTACCACTAAGCTACCAGAGCTCCCTAACTTAATAAATAAAAAGATTGAAATTGTCAACTATTTCATCTGAAGAGTACTGAGTATCCCATGAATTGCAAAAAAAACCAAACCACCAGGGTGTTCCTTGGAAGCATGGATGGTGAAGTTTTATTTAAAGTGTTTGTGGCAGTTTTTTTTAGTAGAATAAGTGACAAACTATGCACATGGTCCTGCCTACATGGAGTGATTACATAAGCATCAGATTGCCTGTATATGTGGAAAGAAACACAGAAATGGTCAAAAGCTAAGACACAGCCAGGGGACATCTAAGTCATATGCAGGTTTTGGTTAAGGCTAAAGAACTCTGGTGGCCTAGTGGTAAAGACCTGTACTAAACTCTACAGCACCTAACAACAGTGGTATCACCCGTAGTGACCCTATGAACAACAGATCTGAACCTTGTCCTGTCCTGTGCCATCTTCACACTGGCACATTAGAGCCCATTGCAGCAGTCACCATGTCATTCCACCTGGTCGAGGGTCTTCCTCTCCTTTGCTGACCTTGTACATTTCTGAGCATCATGTCTCTCTCCAAGGAGTAGCGCATTATGGCTATACACTTTCCAAGACATATTTGTTCTTTTGGCAGTCCATGGTACGTTCAGTACTTTTCTCCAACATCATAGTTCAGAGGCATCAGTTCTGTCATCCATACTGATGGTCCAGATGCATAGCAAATGATTGGAAAGACCATGTCCTGAATCAGATGCACCTTAGTCCTCAAACTGAAATCATTACTCCTTTATAATTTGGAGAGTTCCTTCACTGAAGACTTTCACAGTACAATACATCTGATTTCATGACTGCTGATACCAAGGGTGTTAACTGTGGATCCAAGTAAGATGAAGTTGTTGACCGTTTCAATCTTTTTTCCCATCTATCATGTTGCCTGTAGATCCAGTGGTAAAAATTTTTCTTGATGTTGATAGGCTGTCTCTGTTGGAGTCTTTGATCTTCTTTTTTTTTTTGGACTTCCAATTGTCCTCATTATTTTAAAGGGCTTCCTCCCCAGGCAAGACTTTCTCTGGGCAGCCAGAAGCTGAGATCTAGGGAAGAGTTGATTAGTTGTCTTTTGCTGAGATTTGGGACTGAGCTAAGTGGAGGAGCTCTCAAAGAAGGGAGTATTCTTTCTCCCACGGCTGATCCAGTAAGGGATATTCCTAAGGCTGCTCTAAACTGAGAGAAATAGCTTTTTCAGGGGGTCAAAAGAGGGTGAGGGTGTTGGACAAGAGGAAGAAAGGGAGGGATAACAGCTAGCATTTAGAGCTATGTGTGTCTAGAAATAAAATGTAGTCACATGTCCAGAGAAACATTTCCCAGTGCAAAACTTGGAGGTGGCTGAGGTCTTCTTCTTTCCATAATAATCCAAAGTGAGCTGCTTCTGCCTCTGGTAACTGGAAGCTGACTCAGACCATCACGTCGAGGGCTGAGGGGAAACTCAGGGATCCTTCAGCATCTCTGATGTCCTCAAGGCTCATGTGAGGCTGGTGGTACTGTGAGTGACAGCATAGGAAATGTGTGAGGACCTAGTAACTTGTCGGCATAAGATGAACAGAGATCCAAAGATTTGCTCTTCCGTTTCCTTGTCCATGCAAAATTCCAGTGGCTGCAGAAAGTTTTCAGGCACGCTCCACCATGGCTTCTCTGAGAGAGCACCCGCCAGGGACATACATGCTCCCATGTTGTTGTTTGCTTTGAGCTGATAC